CTCGCCGGCTGCGGCGCTGAGCCCCGCCGCTGCAGACGAGTTTCAGTGGCCTTTTATGGAAGAAAAATGAATCGCCTGCCCAGCCACGAGCGCCTCAGCGCCGAGATGACAGACGGAAACTTGCCATTTGTTGTGGTTTTGGCAGTACGAGAAGAGGGGAGTGCGTTCCCATGCGCGGCGCTCGTTTAAAAAGGGCGCAGCGAAGGCACCGAGCTGGGGGAGAAAGCTCACAGCTCCGGAGCTGCAGATTTCTTCCTGCAGAGCTGAGGAGGAAGGTGGCAGGGACCTGAAAATACAGCTTAGACCCTTCTGCTGGGCGAGATAAGGGGGTGACGGGCTTCCAAGCAAAACCATACGCAGGCACGAGTGCTCCCTTCCCAAGCCCCGGCAGTAAGACAAGTAGCAGCACCACATCTCTCTTCCCTCCTCATCCCAACAAATTCTGCTAAACCACACTCGCACAGACACAGGAGGATGGGAACTTAAACACAGGAGCTGGGCCTCGAGGTCACTGCCAACAGAAAGAAAGGACGAGGGTTTGCCATAAGCAAATGCCCCTGCCGGCTCTGCTCTCTAAAGCTGTGGGGCTAAGTCAGAAGTAACAATGAAACCCAAATAACCAGGCTCAAGGCAAAGCACACAGAGAACAGCGATAAGAACGTCTGAACAGAGAACGAGACAGGACCATGGGACCTTCAAAATGTTTGCACTGCTGTCAGGAAGCTGAACGAGACAGCAGACTTCAGCAGCTGGGAAAACATGTTGCAAAACGAGGAGAATTAAGTAATTCTCCATATGCACATCCTACATTTTGGACAAGCTCAGTTTCTCCAACCAGAGGGATTTTTTTATTTTTTTTTCCATGTTGCACACGCACCCAGTGACAAATCGTGATAGTGCCTGAGCCTAAAACCACAGCGTGTTTGGAGCTGGGCAGGGCAGCCCCGGGCAGCAAGAGCCCAGCCTCTAGCACACAAGTAATCGCGCTGCGGTATGTGCTGGATGACATCCCTGGAAGGATATGTCACCCCCAGCACATCCCCAGCTGCCGGGGACTCGATTACACAAACATTTCCCTTGCACCCTATAAAACACTCCGAACTGGCTCAGAGGTGGCTGGGGCTGCCTCCTTATCTCCTCCCCTGAGCGAGGCAGAGCTGCGTGCCCCGGTCCCGCACCAGGTTTGGAGATCGCAGGCCCTGCAGCACGCCCCGAAAGCTGCTCCTGCAGCTTTCCATCTGCAGTTTTTTCTGCCACGATTTCGTGTTTCAGCCAGGAAGGCCACGCTGGCATCAAAGCTGTTGCAAACCACGCACCGTGGCTTATTAGCACAGGCTGTGGATGCAGTGTTAGCACCCCGCTAGGAAAAGCCGTGTTCAGGCATCACTCGCTAGGCAGAGCTCTGTACAAGCTCCAACCTGTCTTGCTTCCAACAGAAAATGAAGGGGAAAAGCAGCTGGGTGCATCTGTTCCTAGCAAGCACCTTGAAATCAATCCTGCAGGGTATTAGCAGCTTCGGAACGAGTCCCCTCTACCACCATGCCTTAGTCCTGCAAATGAGAAGCACACACGAGGACTGCTGCGGCCAGAGCCCATCCTGAAGACAAAGAGGCAAGGCATGGAGTTTATCCACCTGACACAGGCTTATCAGCTCTTTTTTCCAGCACAGTTCAGACACCCAGCATGCAAACTCATTCCCTAAACCCAGCCTCGTTAGCAGATGCACCAAGGAGCCCTGAGAACAGGGGTGGCAGCTGCCCGGTCCGAGGGCGATGCAATTTAGCACCACGCAGCCGCACGTAACCACTCCTTCACATCCCGCCTGCACTGAAGCAGCCGACTCAAAGGAACAGAAATCCTAAGGCATAAAAAGGAGTTTTAAGGAAAAGAGCTGGAAATGCAAGTCCCTGCAACCTGGCTGCAGGTTCCTGCCGGGGGATGAAGCGACTGGTGTGGGTTTGGAGCTCTCCTCGCCCGGAGGGACAGTGCTGCTCCATGCATGCAGGATTTCCATGGCAACAGCAGCTTTCACCTCCCCATCTCCTGGCTGGCTGAAAGCCCTGCAGTGCTTTGTGCTGAGACTGCAAAGAGGGGAGGCTGGCACCCCCCCAGCCGCATCGCCCAGCCTGGGAACAAAAGGCTTCCCCCAACAATATGGGATGTTGGGAGGAGGGAGGCAGAGCAGAAAGAAAGGACTTCCTTTGCTGTGCTTCCCCCAGCATGCAAAAAGTGCAAGCTCAGTGCTTAAAAATCCAAGGAGCAACATGTGTCTGCTGTAGTCCTCCCAGAATCACTCTGTGGGAACGCAGGGAGGAGAAACACGCCCCAGGAGGGATGAGAAATTCACCTCGCATGGGGCAAGACGGAGGCTGACCGAGCTGGGCAGCAAACCTGCCTGCTGCTGGCAGCCTGGCTGAGTGCCTGCAGGCCTCCTGGGAACATGCTGCGAGCAGCTCAGTGCAGAGCAAAGCCTCGAAGCTCCAACAGGTCTCCAACAGGTCTCATGGCAGCCTGCTGAGAGAAAGCTGACTCCATCCCACATCAGCTCAGACTGCAAATACCCAGGGGAATGCATTCAGCGGGTAGCTGGAGCAATTCTTCCTGACTAATTAAGCTCTTCCTCCACCCTGCAGTTGGTGATGTTAAGATTCAAGCCCTGGTCACCTCACTGGAGCCACGCCGGGTGCATTCGGTCGGTCACAGGCAGCCTCTGGAGCTCTGCCCATTGCTGGGGTTACAGCCAGCCATGCTCTGGTCCCTGCAAGGTGCAAAGGACTGGACCTACAGCAGAACATAGGTGAGATGCATAGGGAGTAACCTGGGTACGTCTAGAGATGATCTACTGAGCCCACCACACATCTACAGCCAAAAAACGAAGGCTTCCAACTGGTTTCCATCACTTATTTTACAGTATGGCCATATCAGATCCAAATATAAATCAACCTCTCTGTAAGATCTGAAGGAAAGGCAGAGTATGAACATGAACTCTGTAAGCAAGACAAAGGAGCCAGGTGATGGAGCACAGGAACGCAGGACCACCATCTGCTGCTCCTCTCTCCACCCCTTAGGAGCCTCGAGGTTTCAAGACCAGCACATTTTGACCTTTCACTTTCTATACTTCCCCTCGCTTTAGGTTCAGCTGTGCAAGCACAGTCCTTCCAACCAGAGAGGGACTCCTTCCAGGATCAGTCATCACCACCACAGCCTGCCAGAGGCACTGCTAGCAAAGCCAACGCATCCTCTCCAACCTCTGTAGTGCTCCCATTGAGGAAAGGCTAATCCAGTCCTTTCCTCCCTCAGGGCAACAGTTTCCTGAAAGCAAGAGCATTAACTGAAATTCTTCGTTCTGGGAAGAGACAAGATAGCAGGGAATAAGAAGCACTGCAGGGGCTGCCATGAGACACCACCACATCCTGCTATCCCAATTCTTCATCCTCTCTTTCAAATCCTCAACTCGTTCAGACTTCTAAGAAGAGCACTGAGCTACTCAGCAGATTTTCAGCTAATGAATCAACACAAGCTGTCCAGGAAACCAGAAATCCAGCCCACTGGAATGCTGCAACCCCAGGGAAGGGGGAACAGACAGCACGCTAGGAAGGAAATGAAACAGCAAACCAGAAGGAAAGGAACACATCAGCACTGACCTCTCTTATCAGTTACTGTACCACATTACACGATTTAGGAAAAAGCCTTCCATTCTTTTTGCATACTGAAACATTCATGTTTTTCCGAGCCTGAGTTTTGTTCGGTGGTGCTGACATATGTGCATTTCGAAAACAGCTTGGGTTTTGCACAAACAGATTAAGAAAAAAAAATATTTAACACATGAATCAACAGTGCCACCTAGTGACTAGCAGAGCTCCTTGCTCCTGAAGTCCGGATGACTACAATTGGATTTCTTTCCCAAATGCTAGAGAGGGATGTTAGCAAAACATTATCTGGATATCCGAGACCTAAAATGGAATTGTGTGTCTTTAAGCAGCTCCCCCCCATATTCTAATTTTTCACTAAGAAATGGAAAGTTCACTGCTGGCAACTTCACTTTCTGCACACAAAAGATTTGGACTGCCTGTTCCTTTCCTCAATAAGGCCAATGGTGGAATCACTCATGAGAAGAACCCAAAGCTACAGCAGCTACAAGCATATGGTTAATGCACTCGAGAGGAATTTCTGTGATGAGCAGAAATCTCTGCTGGTGGATGGGCAGCTCTCAATATTGCAGGAGAATTCATCGCTGTGGCTACAGTTACGCAAGATGCCTCCTAGCTCCAGCTCTTAATGCTGATACTGTGTTGGCCTCAGCTCGCTGGCACCAGATGTGAGCAAGGCTCTGCATATATTAAGGAAACTGAGAAAACACATTTCTACATTTCTGCCTTCCCCCAGAACAGAATGTGCAGAAGTAGCAGCAGCAGCGAGTTTCCCCCACTCTGTACCCCCACTCGACCTGGTGATTGTTCTGTTATGACTAATAGCAGCTTTTGATAGAAGCACAAAAAGAATCTGCCCTTTGAATGGATGCATTCAACTAAGTTTTTGTCTCTTCCAACCAAAACCGTATTCAAATGATGGCATAAAACAAAAATGTAAGATGCTAAGGACAGTACACAGGGTTGTTTCAGGTCATTCACCAGAATTTTCATTATTTCATTACACAAAGGACTACAATTGGACTTTATGCTCATTCCCTGTTCACCTAAAAAGTTCTGTATATGCATGACAGCTCCCTAAGGCTTTTTAGACTCTTTTTTAGTATCTTCCAAGTCTGCTACATGAAAGGGATACTGTTGTCTGCATCAACAGTGCCCTGAAATACATGTACAAGTCACCAGCTACGCAGTTTTATAGAGTATCAACAGATCCAGCAAAATACCTGTATCACTGTCCCATGCAGTCGCTTTAGATCCTCATTCATCTGGTACTAAGGAAGCACGAGCTGTGTTCCAGCCCTGCTGCCTACCACTCTAGAAGAGACCAAGGGGCAAGTGCCACCCCATTACCTTTCTGCAGCGGGGATTAGGACAGCTGAACCGCTTCACGTCGTTGTCCAGTAGAGCTGGGAAGTTACAGAACGGACACCTGCAGCCCAAAAGAAGGTGCTGTTCATGCATAATGCCAAACAAATCTCCACTGAAAGTGGATTCAGTCAAACAGCTATGTGGTTGTTAAGAAAGATGCCAACCGAACGTCTGCCGCCAGGATGTGCTGACTGCTGTCTTTTTGCTCATTTTTCTTCGATCACTTCCCTGTTTGCAATCAAAATATTATACGCTCAGCACTACTTTAGACCATGTAATTTAGAGGATCAGCACAGAGCTAGCAAGCAAGTCTTGGGGGGAGACGGCTCTATTGAATTTTAATCCGCTCCTAGTCAAAGGCAGACCAAGCTGAATAAAAACAGTCTGAAGCCTGAAACGATAAGGCAGCTCTTTAAAAGCTGCACGTCTGGTGCATGTTTAGGGTTTGGGGGGTCAATTTTGCACAACAGTAAGCACAGCCTGTGTCTTGCACTGGGCACTTACCTGACAAGCTCATCTGCACAGGCAGCAGCCACCTCCTCCTCCGCTTTCCTCTCGTAGTATTTGCAGAGGATGTTCTCTGGAAGCACCTTCTCCAGCTCGCTGGTGGGGAATGAACACATGCAACTGCCCTCCATGCAGCTGAGCTCTGACTGCGGTTGGAAGAAGAGAGCTCAGTTTCAGTCTGATGGTAGTGACAGAACAGGAGTTAGTACCTAGAACATTTGCAAGTAAACCAGAGCAGAGCCTTGCTTAGAGATAAGAGCATAAATCAGTAGATAATGGCCAGAAAACGGGCTTACTATGGTAAGAATGTGGCTAATTAACGAGCACTGGACATGAAGATGCTTGCTGATAGCTGGGATCACAGTCCACAAGCTCCAGACCCGCTGTGAGTGCACAGTAGCCTGTTATTTCTGTGTGGTCTCCACTGAGAACCAGCACTCTGAACAGCACGTTACATTCCTGTCAATACAGTCATATAAAAGCTGTCTGGTTTATCTTCACATGAAATATAGATGCCAGAGTACAAAAGCATCCTACAGTTTGATTATCATATCCGAGGCAAAGGAGCACGCACACCTCAGAGCAGTCAATAATTCATTTGTAGCTCAGCTAAGTACCAGGATGCTGTTAACTGCTGCTCCTTTGCCATTGGAACCGCCCCCGGTAATTGTGTCCTAGGAACAGCAGCACCTCTAAATGGGATTAGGGTTACTAGTACCATTGAGAAACCAACCCCAAAATTGGGTTGGGATCGCAAGGAACTCATGAAGGACAAACATTCTTTAGCTATGAAGAGACTGGCTGAGTCAGAGATGAGAACACATTCTCTGTGCAGACTTATCACTGGTTTATTAAGCATTAAATCAAAACCAGATGAGTCTAAGTTATTATGAACACTGTAAAAAGTTTTTCCTAATAATCCATTAAAAACTGCTAAGTATGGAGCAGAGAAGACTGAGGTCAGCAAAACGAGGAACCTACTCAACAAAAAATCCATTGTGAAGTCGTCGGCTGTTCACTCGGTGAGACTGACTTGTTGGATTTGGATTTCAAGACAATTCCATTCAAATACTTCTTGGGAAGTGCAGTTACATCTGGTTTAAGCAACAAAACTATGCAAACAGCAATGTGATCTCCCAGCAGCAATTCATCCATTTTCCCCTCATCCAATTGGGAAATTCTTACCTTCCCAGAGCCAAAGACTGCCTCCTGAGCATATTTAATTAGGCACTCCTTGCAGAATAAGTGACCATCTGCACACTGAGTGAGCTCTTCAAATGCAAACTCCCCGTAACAGCAGCGGCACTCTATCATCTGCCCATCCTGCAGCCATAAACAGAGGTGTTAGCTACAGCAAAAAATAAATAAATACAAATCAATACCGAGAGCAACATACCAACACACTCTGCTGCAAATAAAACGCAGCGATGCGGGCACAAATAACGGCAAGCCATAAACAGTGCCAGCATTAATTATAAAAAAAAAATAGCCACAGATGTACATCATTCCAGCAGATATCCTACTCAGTGGTCAAAACCCACTAAGCAAAACCAGGAACTCAGCTTTAAGTAACTTAATATCTACATATCTTGCTTAACAGATTCCAAAACACTAGAGAGCTTGGTATTTAAATAATTTTTAGCTTGCAGGCATAGAAGCATCTTGGGCTGGGGAAGCTGCAGAGCACATGCCATTCACGTGGGAAAAAACAAGCTTCAAATCTGTTGTCCTCTAAAGGAAAATTTACCCAGCTGCTGACAGAGACCCTGTCTTGGCCCCTTCACTGCAGGGGTGGGGAAGCTTGCCACCGTTAAGAATAAGCATGCCCACTTCTTCAAGGGTCCAGCATCTTCTCCAAAGTTTGAAGAGAAACAGCCATCAGAAAGAAAAATGTAATCCACAGCTGCTGAACTGATCTTTACATTTTCTCATCATTTAAAGGGAAAGACCTGGTTTTTGTTTTTTTGTTTTTTTTTTTTGAAGAGTCCTTTCTGCAAATAAGAAAGGCCTTTTCCACTGGCAGAGCTCCAAGAACAACAAATCTGTTTTAAACAGCCATAACGGTGGTAGCAAGAGCAAACCTGGTGCTATTCTATTGCAATGTTTGTTGTGGCCAGTAAAGACACAATGACTGAATTCCTACAGATCGTTACGTGCATCAATACTGTCTTGCTGCACTCAGCTTTTGTCTACCTTTTCTAAAAGCCAGCCAATGCACACTATGCAGGTTTTGCCTGCTCAGCAAAAGCAGCACAGTGTAAATGCAGCCCTTCAGAAAAGCTCCCTTCCAGAAGCCAGGAAAGTCTGAAGTGGTAAGTGCAAAACAGCATCTATGCAGAAGCTGAACTCCAGGGACGATGTTATGGATACTGACCTTCTGATACTGCTCCTCATTCATCTGCAGAGCAAGGAGGAAGTCTGCATGCTGGAAAAGAGATGTGCATCTGTATTTACAGAGTGGATAAACCAATTTTCCAGCCTCTAAACTCTTTTGCATTATCTCACAACTTACAGCCCACCACGTAAGGTGCACTGTCTGCTTTCAACATCACTCAGCCCTATCCTTCCAGTCCTTCAAGCTATTTATGATTCAGCTAAAACAGATGGGAGAAGCCAAAGCAGCAAGAACAACCAAATTCTACATCATGAGGGCCGCTCGTTCAGGTTCCTATGGGCAGAAAAGAGCTTACACAACAGGCACCTCCAGAGAAAGCCCCAAGGAACATTATTTTTACAAGGAGATACCATTCAACCACTTAAGAAATGTTGGTCTTCAAGAAGCTGCTTTAGAAAAGGCCTGTAGGTGCAGAGGAGTGAATTTAGTCATCCCTCGGTCTATGAAGACAACACACCAGCAGGTGTTGCTGGGTTCTGCTTTGAAACACGCAGTCCTCAGCAAGGGACAAGTTGTTCTGGAGAGACCAGACTGCCAGCTTCTGCAAAGCAGAGTGAGTGGACAGACTGTCCTGGCCCTGGTCATTATTAGCCACCAACATGAGCTGCAATTACAAGCCCTAAAGCAGCAGAGAAGCCTGCTAACAATTAGAGGAAAGAAGTCATTAATACTAGCTTTTAATAATAGCTTTTATTAATAATAGCTTTTATTACTACGCAGTTAAAAAGAGTCCAGTAAGGTGTTTTATCATGGGCTATAAATTAACATTAGCAGACACATGGAAGGTTTTCAATAGCAAAATTGCCAGCTTTAATATAAGTAAATCTGAAACCCCGTGCTTGCCTTTTTTTCTTTCAAAAATAAGTCACCTGGAAAAAGTCATAAACATTAACAGGCAGTAAAGGGACAAAGGTATTAAGTTATTCAAAATTCTGTTCAGCATTTGAGTTTCTGTAAGAGGCAAATTTCCATGTTCAGGGCCAAGATCTCTGCAACAGCTGAAGTTGTTTGCACCACAAAACCAAAGCAGCTCCTCCCACTCACCTCTGCCATCTCTTTAACTTTTTGCTCATAGAATTCCTGCTCCAGCAGCACTGGTGGAAGAAGCGAGAGCTTGTCATAGGTTCTCCAGTGTCGTCTCTTGTTCTCCAGGAAGAACATCCGCTTCTCAATTTTCACATCACCTAAAGCACAGTTACAGGCACTATATGAGGCAGGATGAAGCAGCAAGAAAAAAGCTTAAATCCTTCCTCCTCTACACACCACCAGCTGCATAACTTCAAGGCCTCAGACAGAACTGTACCAAGCAGAGATACTAATGAAGCACGTCTCCAAAATAAGATACCAGACAGTGACAAACACAGCTGTTCTGGGACAACATCCCTTTTCAAGGACAGTACTTTCTAGCATAATCTAGTTCTGCTTACAATAACCACACAGACAGCACAACACACGCTGCTTGTTATTTACCTTGCTCAAATTTGAAATCTATATATGAATACTGATTCATTTCTTTTCTTCTTTTTCGTTTCCCACTGGTTTCCGGAGACAGCTCCTGCCATTTTTTGATGGCATCTGAAAAGGCCTAAAAAAAAAATAAAAAATACAACATGCAGACTTAAACCCCTTCTGTTCTTTGGAAGAAAGCAGAAGCACATACTTCACATCAACGCACTGCACAAACACACATAGGACTGATCTAAAACAGGAAAGCCAAGCACCCCATAGAGGCATGAATACCTCTTCCCTTGTCCACCAATCATTCCATAAAAACAAAATTGTCACCACGCAGAGCTGAATGATGCTTCACAACCCCTCAGCTATTAACTCTAATACAGCTGGTGTCCACTCTGATGCAACAGAGCTGATATTTTTCCTTTTATGTTTTTAAATGAAGCTTCTTTTTGGAAGGCCTAGAGCTAGAATCTGATTTTGTTCAGTTCTATCAAATGAAGAGGCACGGTATTTTTGATTTAGATTTTAGAACTGTGGAACAGTGGAGGGAGAAGCTCAAGCAAGAAAAGCATTTCAGAAGAGTAGCTCCAAGTCAAAAGCTTGAAACCACATTCATATTTAGTTTGTTGATGCTTAAGAACAAGTTTCTTTGCAGCTCCATTACAGTGAAACTTTTATGAGCAATATATGATTCATTTCACACATATAATTAAACGGGACAGTGAGACTTGGGTTTCTCTTTAATTACATGCAGTCAGTTAAAAACTAATGGCAGCAGTTAAATGTTTTAAGACTTAGTTAAATGTCTTGGCTTTATTGGCAATTATACCCCCACTTCAGCAAAGTACAGGAACACTTCTGAGTTCAACGCATCACCTATCATCAAGTAGCCAGTGCTTCCTCAATTCTCCTGTTACAGAAGAGTAAGAACTTCCTGCAGCATTCCATCTGGCCAATAAATTTTGCAAGTCTCTACTAAATGAACAAACACTTCTTGAAAGGAAAAGAAGATCCTAAGAACAAAGCACATCTACACGCACACACAGGCAGATGGCACAGAACAGCAGAAGACTTCACACTGCTCTCCACACATACAGAAGATAACCCTAGGAAAGAAAAGGGACTTGAAGAGGAACCTTTCGTGTGATTGCATAGTGTCCCTTGAGTTCATGTAGTGCCCACTTAATGTCTTGGCTGCTCAGCATTTTGAAGTCCGCCATAAGGAGGTCAGCTGCCTGAATAAAGCACCGCTGATCAAGTGGAGCAAGCTTGGAAAAGTCGAAGTAGTCCACTTTAGGCACCTAAGAAGAAAATGCAAAAGAGAAGGTAGTCCACACGCAGCCATCTCAACATACTCAAAGCAGTTCAAATGAAAAAAAAAAAAAAAAGGAGAATGGGCTTTAAAATAAGTTAATAAAATCAAGTAACTGTATGCAGACTTGCAGTTAAGAGACTAAAAATCAACACCTAAAGGTCACCCAAGATATAGACCTGAGGGCCAAATCTACTTCATGCGACAGAATGACCAAGGAGTTCTTACACCAGTTACCACAACGAACACTGCAGACAGCAGGTGGCTGATGGGCAGGCAAGCCAGGGGGTCTCACTGAAGGCGGAAGAACAGACAAAAGGCAGCTGCACAACACCAAAACCTCTATGTGATTTTGCAAGCAACTACCTATTGTTATTTAACACTATCTTAATTGCACCTAGAGGCCTCCTAACAAAGCATGGCTCTGTTAGGCACTCCGCAAGTACGCGCTAATAGACCCATACGCCCCAAGATGAGTTCAGATCGGACTGATTTGATGGGAAGCACGCTGTGGATAAGGTCACTCTCACTTGCCTTTGTCTCGTCTTGGCTGGCAAGCAGGCTGCTGCTGGGATTTAAAACCATTCTGCCTTCCTTCTTTGGGTAATCTGGGTTTTCCAGAAGAAAGTTGCAAAGTCTGAAAAGATAAATACAGTTACTTCAGGTTCTGGGAGCTCAGGCTCATTCCTCACTTGTCAAATTTTTAGCATCCTCTAATTAAAAGGCTGGGCAGGCAAGTCACAGCTTGCCCTGCAAGAACCAAGAGAGGTCTCAGGCTAGAGCGAATGGAAAATAAATGACTGAGAATTAAGAATGATCAGCTGTGTGTGGCTGCAGAAGGAAAAGCAAATAGACTTCTTTCAACAATTACATTTACATAAGAGGAGCTTGTATGGGTGAGCTACTAACCAGCCCAAATCTCCCCATGCCAGGAGGGAACAACTGGGCTTACTTCCCACTCACATCCACGGCTAAAACCACGTGAAGTGATACTTCCTCGGGCTATCTACCTCTCATCTTTCACAACTAAGCACCAAGGTGTGCTAACGTTCTGCCGCTGTGGAATTAACGTTGTCAGGACTACACAAGAAGGAACAATCACAGCAGAGCAGCATTAATTGTAACAGCTGACATCTACCGTGGCTAACACAAAACCAGCTATGGAAAGACAAGCACACAAACCCCTATAAAAAAATGTGACAGGTTGATGTCTTCCTGGTCAGAAGATTACTGCTTCAAATTTGAATTAGAGCCTCCAGTCTTTATCTGCTTTCACAATGCAGCAGAGGCAGAGACATGTTGAATGCTGTTTACTTAAGCTGTGTACTCTGAACACGGGTTTCATCGTAGTAGAGCTTGAAATCACACTGCCATTGTCCAACTCACCCTGAAAACTGCTCTAAGGGGAAAAAGCATTTAGAAAAAAATCACTAAAAATACTTGGAAAATTACATACTAGGCTAAATGCAGCATGCCTGAGGTCCTATTGCAGTCATAACTTTGTCAGGTAGCTCAGCTGAGCATTGCAGCTTCTGACTGCAGCAAGTAGTTGCAGAATACCCCACAAATACCTCCGAGGCCCTTTAGAAGGGGGAAGCTTGCTGTAGGCGATCTGAACCTGCCTTTCACAGCTTATTCTCAACTGCCACCAACCAGCTGTGCTCCACAGGTCGAGTAACAGAAGCTGATCCTCAGTTTCCCCAGCTCTAGAATCATATCCTCCTGAAAGGAGCTACAAGGAGCAATTAACATTTGTGAAACTTTTTGAATGAGAAGGTGCTAGGTTGCAGCAAAGACATAATTGCTGCTAATTTACATTCCTGATGTCAGAAATCAGTCCCTAATTAAGAAATCCGAACTGGCTTGCAGCATTAACCCACTATCAAGGCGTGATTACTTTAGCCCTGCTTTCACATTCAAAGCAGAGGCATTTCTTTTTGTTTAATCAGGTATTGACATACCCAGCCAGAAGCTTTTGACCGAGTGTGAATGCTTCTGCACACAAAAGCTGAATAGATGATACCCTGCTAAGAGGAGCTCTCACATCTTTCGCATGGGTTGAAAGTTTTTAAGACTATCATTTTGGAAAACAACAAAATATCTCGGCTGAGCGTTTACCAGCTCCCCCTTTTGTCAAGGCCATCTATTCTAATCTGACAAAACAGAAACTTCAAGGAGCTCCGAGCACTGCAGCTCAAACACCAGGGTTTCAGCTGTGGCACAGCCGGAGCAGATCTGATCCGTCCTGCATGTTGCCACCTCAATGCTCGGGATTTTCGGAGATGTTAACCTTCGGTGTCTGACAATTAGTTAAGTGGGTCCCAGCATGCACACTTGTGGCACTGTTCATTAATATCCGCACCACGGGACACAGAGGCAGCTAAAAGCCTCATCCCTGCCCAAACCCAGCCACCCTGAGTTCTTATATTTCAAGCCTGATTCAGCTTGACACACCGTGGAGATCAAAGGGACCCCGCCAGCCTGGCTGACCAGTGCTTTGACCCGTTTGTGCTCACACAAAAGATGCAGTGACGATTCAAAAGATAGTTTGGTTAAAGGAATAAAAATATGGAGGAGAAATCTTTATCATCCAGTAAGTCCGTAATGCACCACTGAGCAGGCACTGTAGATGGCCTGCGGGGAAGCCTGTAAGCACCTTTTCATCTCCCTGGCTCTGCAGCACACAATAGGAGAGAAGAGATTTCGGGAGCAGAAAGGGAAGGAACACATTAAGACTTAGAGAAGCTGATGCTGGGATTTACTTCTACCAGGCTTCACTAAGGCCCTGCAGGATGCAATAAGGAGGTTTTCACACAATCCGTGCGAGGGTGCAGCAGCTAGGCACAGCTGCAACACCCCAATCACCCCAAGGAACTGGCTGCTGCCCTACCATCCTCCTTATTTCCCACATAACCAATTGCTCTGAGGCACAGCTGAACATGTCACTGCTGCAGGGAAAGCACTTTGAGAAGATGAGGATAGTTATAACTTGATCATTTTCCAACCAAGAAGTCCTTCTCTGAAGGCACGACTTGACTACACAGGCAAAAGTAGTAGAATAAGAAATCTAAGGGTGATCCCATCTATTATTTTATACATTAGCCTCAGTTCCTTGCCAGTTACCTTATTCATGCTTCAATAAAGTAACTGAAAGCCTCACACGCTTGAGTACTGCTTAATTAGTGCCTTAGTTTACTGTAAAGGGCACGGGATTCATACGAGACAAAATGAAACCTCTGGCAACCAACACCTATTCCTCATTCTTGCATCTCGTAACTAGTTTCAGCATGTTTGAGATAGTGACAGATGCAGAGAGAAAGAGAGAGGGGCCACCCAGCATCAGACCAAGGCAGACGTAATTTACTTCAAACCACTCTCCCCTCGGAGCTGGCTGGTGCCAACACCCACCATCTTTCACTCTTCAGCTGCGCAAGCTTTACCCAAAAGGGGAAGGTGATGATGCAACTTATCAACAAAGGTTAATGACTTTTTTTGCTCTTTTGATTCTAAAGTGAACTCCCAAAAATATCAGATATGATTCTTAATGCTAAGGAATCCTTGAGCTGCTAGTACGATTGGGAAAGCAACAGTACTCAGGATGATTTTCCATTGCTTTTACTTCCCTTCTTGGCTCAGATTTCTGCTCAATTTGACCAACTCTGTCCATCAGAAGACACCTGTAACTAATCCTGCTAGTCTTTAACTGTGTTTTTTTTATCTGCAAAAGGGGGTTTGAGAGGAACTCGAATAGCACCACTGCCATTCAGTCAAGTTAATGGGATAAAAATCATCATGACACCAAATGAGCAAGTCCAAAACAGTGTCAGTTTTAGCCAGAAAAGGGCATGAAGAGGTGGGAAATTATTTTCCACAATTCAAAATTCACCAATTCACCTTTGAATTACGTTTTATAGAAACCACCTCAACACCTACCCTTGACAGCAGTCTTTAACGAGCCAAGTACCACTTCAGAGGAAACAATATGTAATAGTTTTAAATAATCAAATAGCCAGTAATAGAGAATTTGCAAATTATCTTAAAAGCAGAGAAGCTACAACATGACGTCAGAAAGAAAATTTCTATTAGAACAGGGGTAAAACAAAAAAAAAAAAAATCCATGCTCTCTGGCACTGCCAGCATAGTGCTGACTCCCAGCCTGGATAAGCTCAAAGCATTATTAGCAGGAAGGAAAATGGAAGCGTGACTGCAGCCAGCCTGTTTTATGATGCACTCTGGCTCTTATTTTTATACTTACACATTTAAGTCATAGCAGTTCTTGACATTGATCAACTCTTCAATATATTCCTTCTTCACATCTGGGAACCTTGCTTCCTGCAGTAGGAACAGATGAAGGTTATACAGGCATTAGAGGAGCTGTGCGATACAACCTAGCAACAGCACCAAAGACAGAAATATATAGGAAATTATCTAACGTGCTCCCAAGACAGGGGCTAGAATGGGTTTTAAGAAACACTTTCTACACATCCAGCCTGGATACTGCACGTTGCTGGCTTTCCTTGTTCCACAGGATGAACACCAACAAGAAAAATAGGGGCAGTGATATGAGCAGTCACGAGCAGCTGGCCTAACAAGTGATTCAGGGTGGATGGAAAGAGGAGAGGCACACAGGATCTACACCACAAGCAAAACTAATATTTACCTTTAGATAGAAGATTAAGGACTTCCAGGTTGGGTGCTGAAATACAACATTCCAAAGCAAGAAGGGGGAAGAAAAACACACTGCATATACCCACCCAAAGCACCCAGACACTAGTGATGAGATCAGAGATGACAACAAACTTTTACTTGCATTTCTGTGAAAACTCTTCTACCTTTAGCCACATAGAGCAGTACAGAGTGCTCTAGGCTTTCTCCTTGGGTTTTCATACAGGTATTGCAATTGGTTGTACCATACAGTATTTTGTTTTGCAAGACTAAGCTGGTCAAAAAACCCTGACAATGCAGGAGTATCTCCACCTGTCCACCTGTTAAAGCAAGTCAGTGATCAACACGGTCTTACTCTGAAATAAAGTGAATTTTGTTGAATTGCTACTTGGAGAATAACACGAACATTTTCTCAATGTCTTTTCCAAATAGAATCAGGTATGGGATAGGGAGGAAGAAGTCGGCAGAGGGAAGAGGGGATTGGTCCAGATACAGTGGGATGCATCTGTTTGAAAAGCTTGTCTGAAAATAAAATGCACATGGAAGGCAAACAAGCCTGGGAGCACTTACTGTCTCTCTGATGAGCAGCGCAGTGAGGTCTTGGTCCTGCCCAGCAGCCCCCTGTTCTGGCACATCACTAGAACCGAGTTCGTGCAAGCCCTGTGCCGGGAATGCTGGGCCTGGCTGCTCGTTGTCTATTGCTGCCTGCTGCCCCCTCGTTTCTTCTGGGGGGTGTGCTGGCTGGGGCGAAGCAGGACCAGGAATCCCATCCTGCTGTGGCTCAGGTCTGGGGAAAGCCGGCCCAGGAGCCTCCTCTCCATAAACCCTCGAAGATCCTGAGTCTGCTTCAGGCTGCCCTTGCGGAGGAGCACAACCATTTACAAGGGCCTGGGGCTCCCCTCCTGAGGGCTGGAAGCGATCCAGCCGGCCGTTCTCCTGGAGCTCCTGCTCCGTGCTGGGTGCAGCAACTGTTCCTTCAGCGTTTTGCAAGAGCTCTGGCTTCAAGTCCTCTCCTTGCCAGCCCTGGGCTTCCACCTTTTCCTCCTGTTGCGGTGGCACGTCTGCTTTCTCTAGATTAATGATTTCCTCGTCGACGACAACCTGAGGACTCATCTTTACTGCTGGAAGCAAACTTGGGTCAGGCTCCAGGTTATTTGGAAGTTCAAACCTGGGGCCGTTTTGTTCAGATGGCCCGGGCTGCTGCAAGGCAAAGTTCACATTCTCATCCCTGCTTGGTCCAGCGTTGCTCTCCACCTCGTAATCACGCTGGTCCTTCTGGCAGAGCAGAGCTGACGTCTCATCTTGCAGATACGTGCCCCTCAAGGGCCCTACAGTGCGTTTGGATCCTCCTTCTCCCACAGTGTTTGAACCCTGCCACTGAGCAGCAGGCCTGATGACATTGGGACGCACAAGCTGCTGATGCTTTGGGGTCTAAAAAGAAGACAGACAAGAGTAAGTAGGAGTTTTCTACTCGTCAGAATCCTTCCTCCAGACGGTCCTTTGCACCTAATCAAATTTCTAATGGGAAAGAGGTGAAAAATCTGTTCTAGCAAAGAGCATAAGGCATAAAACTGCAACTGCTTGTTTCACTGGACACCATCCTCAGCCTGTCCCCAGGTGCCAAGAGTACATTTGTGATGAGAGAACACTTGGCACAACTGGGGATGCACAGGACTTTCACACTGGAATAATTCCCAGAGCTCACCCCAATCTCCATTACACTCCTGGTACGAGAGTCTGGAAATTAGGAGCTAACGGATGGTGTATTTGCATCTCAGCAAATTCATTCATTTTAGCCAACAGCAAGAACCAAAGCTCAAAATGTTGATCTCTGGCCTTGCTCCTGCCTCTGGCAAGCTAAGGCTGCTGAATGCAAGTAGAGTTTGAACACTCTCCGATACTGTTTTCAAGTAAGAAACAGGAAAGTTACCTTTACAAGCCAATTTCTCAATAACTCTGGTTATTTTAACAGAAAAGTGAAATATATCCTTAACACAGCTTACATTTGAAATTCAACATAAAGTACTAAGGTTAAGCCAATGCCTTTGGCCCTCCTCTGTGTGACTGCCTTCATCCAAGGAAAGAGATTTACCAAGTAGGCTGGCTTTGTAAAGCTGCAAAAATTCAGGTGCCTGCAACAGCCCAACAAGAATCCAGCGTTCTGAACACCAGAACAGGCTTCCTAGAGAGGTGCTTGATGTCCCCGCCTGTCAGTATTCAGGAGGCATTTGGATAATGCCCTCAATAAAAGGCTTTAACTTTCAGTTAGCCCTGAAGTAGTTATGTCTGAACTATTCTAAACAGCATAGATATAAAGCACGCAAGGTTAAACAAGGCAGGTTTTGAACACCTGCATTCTAAATAACAAGTCCTTTGTTTTGGATAAGGATAGATAAAGAAGGCTCTAGCTTACATAACGTATAACTTTATGATACAGCTAACAATCTAGTTCTCCCTGCCTGTGCACAAAATACAAACACACAAACCCAGCAAAATTCCATCATTTCAACACTCATTTAAGGCCTCTTAAGTAAATTACTGCAACTAGGCAGGACTCTCGAAGGAACACATCAGATATTTGCACAGGAGATGGTTATAAAGGCCACGAATAAAGCAGCAACACGTACAAGAGTGAAAAATTACCTCTGCCAAGATAACCACATCATCATCATCTTCTTCGTGCTGCTGTTCTGCTGACGTTTCCAACAACAAAGGTAATTCTTCATCCGAGGAATCTGATATCGTGATAAGACCGTCATCCCTGCGGTTTATCCAGTCTGCAAAGTCAGGACAGTTAGCTGCTTGCAAGTGACAGAGCAAGAGTGCTGGAACACGTGGAAAAGCCATCTCCACATTGTCATTGCAGCAACAAGGAAGAAGCACACAAAGGTCCCTGGTTCCTCTGCAACGTACTGCCACGGCCACTCCTATGCCCCTCAGCCCTCTGAGCAAAAACCTTGCACAAACTACAGCTCAAGAGACCACAACGGCATGTGCATGAAGTGGTCCTGCACAGAAAGTCTTCTACCTCAAGTGTGAACATGAGTCAAGCTGCTGCAGAAATGATTCTGACTAATTCATGTAGACTTCTTCCTACTTTCTGGAGAGAAATCCTGACCATTCAGTATCTCAGGTACCGTGCATTTTCTTTCATTGATGCACAGTATGTTGGAGCAGACAGATAAGGCTCCAGGTACGATTTGGTGCCTTCTGAAAGAGAGTGACTTTGTGGGAGTACCTTGTGCCAGCTTGAGATAGGGCCCCTGGCTGCGAGTGCAGATGATATCCTGCTACTGGATGACAAGCCTCAAGGTTTGTCAGCTCTGAAATAAAGATGCTACTGAGCAAAGCTGCTGGAACTTGGGAGATACATGCCAGGCAGAAGCAGAGGGTTTCTGTACTGCAACAGAAGCATACAACCACACCTTCCCTAGGATTTAACACAACATTTTGGTTTATGTTTCTGTAACCCTGCAGCAAACCAGCACACAACCACTTCACTCAAGAGCTGAAAGCATCCACCAACTTGGAGCATTTATCTACCTATTTATCTACCCTTCAGACACACAGAAAGTGTCATTTTGAATTCTACTCGAAGCAATGGGTGACAGCGCATCCAGCCCTAGTAGGAACCAAACGAGGTTCTTAAAAATGAGGTTCTTAAGAAGGTGGAGCATCACGAGTCCCTGAGACCTGCTGAAATACCTCTGCTTGGCTTGGGTGTTCCCAAGAAGTTAGCAATCTACCTTAAGGCAGTACAACACCAGAAAGACAAGAGCCAAATATTTCATGTCAGCGTAAAATGAGAGGCTTCGTGGCTACCTCCAGAAAATTAAACAAAACAGAGCGGTGCATCACGAGGCAGAACAGCCCACGAGCAGCTTCCTGTTAACATCACCCCTGCAAGTTTACTGGCTATTATTCCCAGTGCTTGTAAGCAGAGCTGTGTGGAGATAACTTTGGAAACACAAATCAATGCTCACCTTTCCCTCGGTGACTACGGAAGCTGTTTAAGTGAATGACTTCTTCATTTCCACCTCTCTCTGCCATTTTAAACAGCTGCTCCCAGAAGTGTCAAGGCCCAGGCATGGCAAGCAGGCTGGAACAAGGAACTAGAAGACAAAACAGAAGAACAGTAAGGCAAACACAGTGACACCCTAGGCTTCCCCTGCTACATTCCTTCTGGGATTCTCATGGCTCTCCCAGCGAGGCTCTTAGGAGATGTTTTCCATGCCCGAAGGGAGGCACGTCTCAGGTCCTCTTCTGAGGGTTAAGACAGGAAGACCAGCGAGCATAATCAGTCCTGAGAAGCCCCCCAGAGGAGAATTCGGAGGCGCTCACAACTCCGGGATCACAGGAGGAAGGGAGAGGCACTTCTGCCCCGCCAACCCAGCCTCTGTGTTTGTGCTCAGAGCTGTTTTCCTGGTTCCAAGAACTCAAAACCCCACAGGGGCATTTCTGCCACCACCTACCGGTAAGAGGAGCAAAAGCCACTTGCCTGAGCTGCCCCAGGACGCCGGCACCACCTCTGCTACCCGTGACAGCCACCCACAACCAGCATCGAGCTCCTATCAGCCAGACCTGGGGGTTCGGTGCAAATCCCAGGATATTCCACCTGCTCTCCAACTAGAGACCCAACAGGGCTCAAGTTCCTTCACGGGACAGCTTTTGGGACTGCTCTGCCACCCCACCTGCTCCCAGATAGGCTCCACGTGCTGGCAGAAGGCTCCGGGGCAGGATCAGCCCCGAGGAATCACCGCAACCTCAACACCTGGTTTCCTTTCTATGCCCTGCCAGCTCCCTCTATCACAGAACAGCTGAGTACACGTGAACTCTGAGCAGTTTGATCACTGCAACGAGAAAAGTCTTTTTATTGGGAAATATTTGCCTTATTGTGAGAGCACAGAGGAGTCTGCACGATTTACCAACGCATAAGCTGAAAGAAAATGGTGGTCTGCTATAAAATCCTGTCTGCTAGCGCACACGAGCAGCACAAATTCCTCCTCAATAATTCCACTTAACCTTCTCTGCAGGGAACGCCATTTGCAGCTAGCACAGCAGATGAAGAAATCTGTTCGGATAGACTCTGGGAACTTAAAGATGTATATCCCATACGCACACCGGGAACTACTCATCACCAGCCTCAAAATATTTTAATACAGCGTAAAATCGTGGAAATAAAAACGCATAATCATCCAAAAGCATCTGTGAAAAAAGGCAAAGCTCACTGCAAGGCAGTGCTGAGACTTGGGCATCTTGGTGGAAACCCACACGTCTCCAGCACGCACAGATACGGTCCCAAAGCCTCACACCACAGGTAATAGGATAAACGAGCAGGGAAGCAGTGTATTCCCATTTGTAGGGCAGGATTTTGGCTTAGCACACACAAAGGGTGCCAGCAGCAGCCTTCCTTGAAGGGTACCTCCACCCTAACAGCTTTCGTGGCTTGGACAGGAACGGCCACGGCTCACCTGGTCCCAACCCTGCTGATGTCCTGCTCTGGATGGGACACGGGACTGGGTCTCCTCTAACCAGCACTGCTACAAACATGTAACTACACCGACCTCTGAGCCCTGGAACTTCAGCAGCACGCCTCGTTTCCAGCAAGCAGCCCCAAGAATGTTACGGGCATATTGATGCCTTGAAAACCCTTCAAAAAAAACAAGGTTTGGGGGCTGTTTCCACAAGGCTCTTCAGCTTCTGCCTTATTACAAGCGAGGTCACTCAGAACAGCACTTCAGCTGCCAGAACGGCACCAAAGTGCTGCTCTCCCTCCCTGCAGACAGGTGCTGGAGTGGCAGCTGAGGGGCTGGCTAATTGTGAGCATCCTTGGTGAAAACAGCGTCCTTTTTACGAGGGCACCTCCACGTTGTTATCGTTCCATTTCCCTGGTGCTTGTGACTAGCCACCACGCGGCCCCGCACAGCGTTTTCCCTTCCGTAGCCCTCCAAGCACTTGAGAAAAGATCAATATTGTTCCTGCCATTTAGGAGATGGAGAAATAGAAGTGCTGAGAGGAACAGAGCGGCCAAGGTCACGAAGCAGGGCCAGGAATAGCACCCAGGCTCTTCAGATCCAGGCGGCTGCATCCACACCAACCATTTCCACCTGCTGGTCCCCAAAAATGCTCCTCACAGCAGTCAGCAAACCCTGTAGGGCCTCACCCCAGCTCGAGCTAGACGAAGCAATGGCTCGGCAGGCAAAAAACCAACGCTCAACTTGTCAAATGGCAAAGGATTGCTCCGAGACTGGCTGGGGAGGGACAAGCCTGGTCGTGAATGCCACAAATCAGCCCCTGCAGCACCAAACGGTGCAGACAGAGGCTAGCCAGGTGTCTGCTCGGCTCGGCTCTGAGCAAAGCTCAGTGGCTGGGATGGTTTTTCCCCTGCAGGGGCATGCGATGAGTTAGCAGAGGTCAGTACGTGTGGGCTGGTCAGCACCACAAATGCTTGGCACAGTCAGCAAAAACATCTCCCAAACAGCTCCACTGGTGCTCTGCCCACAGCTGCCCACACCCAAAGGCAACGCTCTCCCCCCCAGGCAGCTCCAGTTACCTGGAAAGGAACTTGTACATCAAGAAAGAGGCCCACAAAGAACTTGGGATAACAAACTGCTCCCCCCAGTACAAGAGAAAGGTGCTTGCACACCACCGAGAGGCTCACAGAACAGCATTAGCCATAATACACAGCCAAAGCAACATCCGTAACTTTAGCCCATTCCCCCTCATCCTGTCACCAGGCACATCAAAAATAAAATAAAGGCCAAGCCGGGGAAGAGCTGGCTACGGACCACTTCTCTCTTTCAAAACAGAGCCCATAAAAACCCAGGCAGCTTAATAAAGCTCTGCCTGGGGGGTAGAAAGCATGGTTCCACCAAGCCAGCAGTTTGTTTTGTCAATAGGCAATAGAGGACTGGAGTTTAAACAAATATCTATAAGCACGGGCCAGTTCCATCTAGTGGCATGAATACGAAGTTTGGTTGTGTTTATAGCACCAGGCTGCCAAGACCGTGAAGTAACAAGATCAAAGCCACCCTGGGGTCCTGCCCTACATAAACAACACAATAAAAAGCAAAAGAGGCAGATGGAAAGCAGCTACCCACGCTACCTCGGTGATTTTTATGCCTATTTTTAGGTACAGAATAAGGCCACCTGTAAGTGAGCTCCGACACAGCCATCAGCTTCTTCACCATGCAGACTAGGACTGAATGCAAGAACAATTTTAAATGAAAGCGACCTGAAGCAGCACACAAACTGGGTTTCCTTCCTAAAATCTCCCACCAGCACTACAGAACAGCAGACTGCAGAGATTCGAGCCCCAGATCCAGTAACGGGGTGACACAAAACTGTTCCAGTGACTTGGAGATCACCTGCTGATGGCACGATACAGCACCAGGCTGGAGATGGGGTGCACAAAATCACCCCTCTGCTTCCCACATCGCTCCACGTCCTCAGGACGCCGCACACCCGAGGTATTTCACTGAGCAGGAGATCAAATCCTCTCCGTTAAGGTTTTTCCTACAGCAACCTGGGAGGGAAAACCAGCATTAACGGAACAGCTACCGGAAAAATCAGAGACCATCGGGGACGTAGGGGTAACCCCACTCTGAACAGAGGTCTGGGGCTGCCTGTTCACACCCATTTCCAAGCTAACCACACACACACAGACATACAAACCCCGCAGCCACCAGCTCCAAGCTGGCAAAGCTGCTGCCAGGAGGTGAAGCAGGTCCCAGGTGCAGGCAGCTCGCTTACACGTGAATTCCCAAACCCGCTCCAAATCCCCGCAAGCACCACGCTGGGTATTTTTAGCCTGCCCTAAAAATAGCAGGCGGCGGTGCTGTGCATATATTTCAAGTCCCGGTGTATGCAGAAGTTTCTGGATGGCAGGAATTGGAGCAGAACTCAAACACGCTCCCTCCGTCTTCCGTTTGTGCCGTGACGAGCATCCTCAGCTGGGGCTGGGATTTAAAGCCACAGTGGAGGGGAGAAATGTTCGAGTGTGGTTTTTCCTACTCACAGCATTTAGATCTCCAACTCCCACGTTCCCAGGATGGGACTAGGCACAAAGTGAGTGCTCTCTCCTGGTTCAAGGCAACGGGACCGGACAGAAAGCACTGCAGGAGAGGCTGGAACCGAAATCCCAACTAAATACGGGTAAAAAAAAAAAAAAGAGCACCATGGAAGAGATGTCAGCAGCAAGGAGTCACTGCGTGTTTTAGCACCACCGTTGCTGCTCACCTGTGTTGCAGCACAGCATCAGTTCCTACCTTCTGCCTGCAGGCAGCACACGTTGTCTCCTGGTAGCCTGCAAGCAAGGTGAATTTCTGCCTCGTTTCAAGCGGCTAAGACAAAGAGAAACTGCTTCAATAATGCATGGCTCGTGACAAGCAGTGAAACGAAAAGCTAAGGCTCAGCCCTAAAAAAGAAGTAACAAAGCCACGAAATGCACCAGAAGTGAAACAAAGCAGCCCGACCTCTTGTCAAGCATCACAAGGAGACGTTTCCAAGGGCTCTGGGTGTGCTGGGGGCTGCTCCTCCTCGCGGTCACCCCCCTGCACGTGCAGGAAAACCTCTGGGAACAGCAGTGACTTCAGAAGCAGCGCCCCAGGCTGGAACGTCGTTAAGATGGACAAGAGGGACAGGCAGCCTCCAAGCTCCTCTGGCAGTAATCACAACTTCCAGTGATCCCTTGCAAGTTTTCAACTCCTCGCCCTCTCTTACCAAGGAATAAAGGCGCGCTGTGAATCATACATCAAAGGCAGCCGTGTGCCCTTTTCACCACGCATGCCATTGATGCAGGCTCCTTTGATAACTGCAGAGTGCTTCGTTATCACTTCATTGACAAAAAGCAAACCACGAGCACTAGCACGGGGCTGCCCAGCTTTACTAAAGCCTGCTCGTGGCTGGAACAAGGCCAGAAGCGTGGCACTGCAGGGATCCGAACGCTGCTCCGCTTTTTGGTCACTTCTCAGTCCGTGGTGTCAGCAAGAACAGGCTGTAAGACACTGGGATAAGCGAGGTTAAGGAGCAGCAAGGTACGGGCTGCTTCCGTGTGTCAACGCTCCAGGGAACTGATCAGCCTCCAGGCAGCAAGAGGGCACACTTTGGGATGACTTGGGTACAAATCACTCGAGTTTTCCTGTTTTATGACTTGCAGGAAGCATTTTGTACAGCACGAGGCATCTGAACAACCTCATCTACGCCTGTCCTTTCATTCAGGTGAGAGTATAACTCAGCTGTAACTCCTGAAAAGCAATTAGCACCAAGTACAAGAGGAAGGAAACCTGTCCAGGTTTCCCACCTGTGTTCTCCCAAACCGTTCTAAAGCACCGTTTTGTTCTGATTTTGTGGGCTCAGGGCAGGGATAAACAGAAGAGCGCGTGCAGCCACGTGATTTGCAGCTCTGCCCCTTCCAGAGCAAGCCTTACTTCTGGTTTCTTTGCCCTGAGCTCACGTGTACCCCAACCCAAGGCGGGTGAGGCTCTTCCTAACGAGCAGCACCGTTATTAAGGCCCCTGACGGCTGTCTCTGCGGGCTGCCAGGTGCTCCACGTTCCTGCCACTGCCTGATGTTAATTGCAGCTGCCTCCTCTTCCCCATCAGCCCAGAGGCCAGGCAGAACAGAAGACAAGCAGCGACCTTCGTGCCCCAGGATACACATGAGAGCTCTTCTCCAGCACTCAGACTTCACAGAGCTCTCTCCAGGAGAACGGACGCCGCGTTTCCTCTCCAAACCCTCAGTAGTCTTTATCCTTTCTTCTTTCCTTTTTTAAGGAAGCCCAAGTATCACTTTCAAAAGGTGTAGGAGAACAAAGCAAACGAAGGGCAACCTTTCAAGCAGTTATTTAACGAGTCGCGTGCACATCTTCGGGTTACCATCTCAGCCCAGTTTGTTCTTGGGGAGGAAACCGGGAAATAAAGGAGTTTGAGGCTGCTGCTTACGGCCAGCTAAAAGGCTACAAAACCAAAATGCACCAGCAGCAAACACGGGAAGTTCAAGGGGATTTTAATTTATATCTTTTGAAACGGTGACCTGAAGCTCTCACGTGAAATTCTGCATTCAAGGCTGGGTGAAGGCTGCAGAGGACACCTCACCTCATCTCACAGCGCTGCCGACAGTAAAAGCCGAGACTTGACCTTGAGGCGGCACAGAAGAGAAAAGCAGCACTCTGCAGCAGCCCACCTCAGCAAAAGGGAACAAAGGTTTCTGTGTCAGCCCGCGCAGTCCTTTCAGAAGTGCTGGCTTCAAAGTTTGCCTCCAGCCATTCTTCTGCAGCGTGCAGGTGTCAAACAGCCCAGAATTGGGGATTTCCATACCGAATGCCTTCCCAGGTCACGTTCCATTTACTGCAGCCCCTTTTTTTTTTTGGAGACACGTCAAGCATCTGCTCCTGTCATAATTCCAGAGGTCACTGGAGGTGGCCAGAAGCTGAGCCTGCACGTTAAGAAGTGTCTCACTGCAATACCTGCCTGAGATGTTCCCATTCCCACTCCATCCCTTGTCACCTCCCTTCGTGCTGAGCCGTGCCAGGAGCTGGTAGAGCTTTTGCAAGAAAAGCCCTGGAAAACTTTGCAGGGCTGGGATGTGACACCATCTCTCTTCACATGTCTGCTGTGGCATAACTGTGAGAACAGAAAGAAGATGCTAAAATAAGCTGCAAGCAGGGGGGGGTCTTAAATGGCAGCCTGAGAGCTGAGACACGGCACGAGCCCAGCCCAGAGCCAAGGGGCATCGAACAAAAAGCGCTCCTCGGCCACTATCAGGCTCTGCTTTGGGAGATGCTGCGCACCTGCAGCTGCCCAGCGCAAAGGCTTTGCTTTGTGAGAACTGACAGCAGCAAAACCAGCCCATGGCCAGGTCTAGAGCTGCTCCACAGCCAGCATTTTTCTTTTCTGAGCCTATTACAGCTCACAAGGACAGAACAAATTACCAACTGACCAGTAAGAAGCCAGGAAAGAAGCACCACGCGTCAATTCTCCAGCTCCACGCTCACACACACCCAGGAGACCACAACGGCCCGAATCTCAGCCCAAAGGAAACGAATCCTTTGCACATGCAAGATTACGAGAACCACGACAGCTACGAGATCGCCCAGACTGAAGTCACACATTTGCTAAGGACACGACTGCCTCCAGGCTGCGATCTGCGTGCCTCTCCCTTGGTCATCGCAGTCAAAGCGTCCAACGCTGCTGAAGCCCACGAAACGCCCCGCGCTGCTGGTTTCCTGCAGAAAGAGCTGCCTTTCCTGCCTCCCCACCACGCTGCTGCTGTCAGCTTCCTCAAATTGCATCACAGCACAGCACGGCAGCAGCAGGGAGAGAAGGGAAGGCTCCCGGGCAGCAGCACTGCTGCCTGTTTCCCCCCACAATGCGCTGAGCCCCCAACATTTCCTACCTGCCGCTGGTAGGTGGGTGAAGGGCTCCTCGGAGAGGTGGCCGGCGGGTCCCTCCAGGCTAAAATGACCTGCAGCAAGCAGCAGGGAGAGGTTGCATGGTATTTGGTGGAGGGGGCATCATGTTTTGGGGCTATTTGGTTATCCGTACGTCCCCCTGACACCTACGGGCACTCCCAGGCTTATTTTGACTCAGCAGCTTTGCTCCTGAAAACGCCAGCCTCTAGAAGTCACCCCACAGAAGAGACACGAGCCCCAGGAAGCCAGCAGGAAGCCTCGTTTTGTTTTCGTTTCCCTTTCCCCTGCCCAAGCAGAGTGATCAGAAGGCTCTGGGAGGGAACGGGGAGAGCTGGGCTCTGCCACCACCCAGCAGCCACCCCGAGCTCTGCTCTCAGCACGGACCCAGCCCGAGCACCTCAGTCAGAAACATGCAGGGACAGCAGCGTGACGGGGGGCAGCATTTCCATCCTCCCCTTGTTGGGATCTTTCCCAAAATCCCAATGATTTTCCCTCTGAATCAGTGCAGGGACAGAACCACAGCAGTACAGGTGCCCAGGAGCAAGGTGTTGGTCAGCAGCAGCCTTTCAGTCCCCAGGAATTCCGGTTCCTCGAGGACCATTCTGAATTTCTGACCACCACAGGACACACAGCACTCTTGAGATACTTCCAAAGTCAACTCCAGGTCCTATAAAAGCGCCGTGCAGGCGGCTGAGCACACAATTAGCTCAGCTCAGCGCAACATTCCTCGTTAGCTCACGTCTCAGGGCCTTGGCAAGAGCTGACTCAAGCCCCCAGCACACTGCTGAGGGCCTTTTAAAATCCCTTTCCCTCACCTACCCCCTCCTGCGTGTCCCAGAGCCACGGAGCCATCCCCAACACCCACTTCAAACAACCCCACCTGACCTCTCATTAGGCAGACGCTGACCGGCACGGGACTGGCTCTGTGTCAAAGCCAGGACCCAGGCTGTGAGCACAGAGAAACTCTGCTCCTGGAAGACAGCCAGAGTCCCAAATAAGCCCTGCGTTTCCCCCACTGGGGAGAAATCCCATTAGGAACAGCCGAAATGACACCTAGCAGCCCGCAGGGCCCATCAGGGCAGGTGGGACACCGAGCTTTAGGGCACGCAGCTTTCTCAGACCACTGGAGCCCCTCCTCTAAGCATTTAAGAACAGGGGCCCGTGTCTGAATCCATTTAAATTCCAGCTTTAAACACCTCCAGACCAAATCCAGGTGCAGAACCCGAGCTGCTGCCTGGCAGAAGGAGCAGCACGGCTCTGACTGTCCCGAGAAGAATTCAGCCCCCGAGCTGCCTGTGCCATTCCGTGGCGAGCCACGCACAATGCCTCGGAAAAAAAAACACAAGAGAAGCCACCCATCCCAAATTAATGAATGGGATCGTCTTCCAGCAGGCACTGGGAACGTCCAGAGGGCTCCACTTCTCTCTCTCTCGCTTGGCTTTGAGCTGCTCAGGCTTAGGAAGCGGCTCCTGGCCCCCGGGACACGCTTCCTGCCTCCCTTCAGCTGCTCCACCTCTTCTTGCCACGGGACTTTTTGGCGATTTGTGTCCAATTTCAAAGGCTCCGAGGCGGGGGAGGCAGAGTCAGTTACAGGCTGGTGGCAGCAACGCCCACCGCATTCCCCAGCAGACAAAGACATCCCCCGGCCTCCTCCCAGGAATTTGGGAGCTCTGGGGCAGCTCCTGAAGCACAAGGCCGGGTCCAGCTGCCAGCACCCTGCTGGAAATACACCTCAGCAGCAGCAAACCTGCCCCAGCCGCTGCTCTGGGGATGGTTATTCGCGCTTTGACTCCTGCAGCTGCCCCAGAAGGATGCCTGAAGCCACCCTGAGAGGAAAGCGTTGTAGGAAGGAGGGAGGGAGGGAGGCAGAGGGCGGCCCGGTACCGAAACACCACGCTGCGGGGCCGAGAGTCGCTGCAGATCGTCCTCAGGAAGTGGGGCTGAATCCTCTCCCAAAGCCTCGGGATTCCAGGCACAAGCTCCTGTCAAGACGATTGTTTATGAAGAGCCAGTCACGCCGCGCAGGCCCCCAGCACATGCAATCTATTAAGATGTTTACAACGGCACAAGGCGGCGGAATTCGCAAAGCACCGGCCCTAGAAACGAGCAGCTCGGATGAATCCTGCAGCTCCGAACCTAAAAGCTGTCCCCACAAATCCGCTCGCCCTGCAGAGAGCAGCTCCCACGGGAAGCCTCCCCCAGCGGCTCCAGGGCAGGGCTCTGCTGCCTCCATGGGTGCTAAGGGAGAGGAACCGAGTGCCACGAGACACAGCAGAGGGGCGCTGCCTGCTCCTGTCAGCTCTCCAGGCAACTTTCCGGCTGCTTTCGGGCTCGCTGGCTGAAATAAAGCAGGAGAAGCCTGCTGGGCTGTGTGGCAGTCAGTGAGCTTCAAAAGACAGAGGAAGAGACTGTGAAAAGCAGAGAGCTGAGCTACACTCACTGAGCATTATCCCTCAGCAACGGACCTAAAAGTGCACAGCGGCTGTTTTATGGTAAAGCAGCGGCAGCCTCAGACCAGTGCCTCATCTGTCCGAACCAAACCTGTCCTGACGAGCAGTAAGGATGCAAAGAGCCATGTGGATGCTGGAACTTCTCCCTGGGAACTCTGCTGCTGGTACAGGAGTTGTTCAATTCCGTTTCGGAGTCGGTTTTTAGGAGATGTTTGGCGAGGCTGCTGCTCACAAAGCGAGCCCAAGCTGCTCAGGGCAGGTTCCTGAGCACAGTCAGCACCCGGCCAGCCAACACCAGCATCGGGCTCCCTCAGCTCCCAGCTGCGTGCCAGGAGGTTAGCAGGACGTTGGGGATTTTTTAGGCTGACCTGCAGCTCACCTGCTGCACGGCAACGCAGGGCTCGCTGCCTTGATTAACTCACCAGAGGCTGGGAACTCACTGAACCCCTTCAGTCCCACAACACTTCACGTGTAAAACCCCGACCTGATTTCAATCGTGGGGGGGAAAAAGAGAAACGACAACAGCAGAAACCTGCACCAGGTGTCCCCACACTAACACACCGCGCATTTTTGCCTTTCTAGCATTCGCTCTCCCCCACCAAACCAAAACAGTGCTGAAATCAAAACGGTGAAGGGAAAAGAGCCAGAAAGCCTCCCTTATGCAGGCAGAGCCCCTCACACAAGACCAGAGCCCTCTCCTAGTGGGGCAGAGCCCCCAGTAGGGAGGACAGCCGTGCTCCCACAGCCCCCCCACCGCATCCCAAGGCCCCCACAGGCCCCCAGCAGGCCCGGAGGCGATCAGCCTGAGCCCCCTCATCCCTCCCAGTACCCGGGGGCACCGGGGGGGGCACTAACGGGGTAGGGGAAACCACCTGAGAGCCCCCCAGCCCCGCCGCTCCCTGAGGCGGGCCCGGGCTGAGGGGGCTGAGGGGGAGGCCCGGGGGCTGTGGGGGGGGGGCCAGGCCCGCCTGAGGCGCGCAGGGGAGCCCCGGGATGACCCGGGCCCGGGCTTTTCCCGTTCCCCTGAGGGCTGCGGCCGCTTCTCCGCCCTCCAGTCCCGGTTCCCGACCGCTCAGCCCCGGTCCCGGTCCCGGTCCCGGCGCTCACCGCCCCCCCGCCGGCCCCGCTCCATTGAGGCGCCGCCGCCGCCGCCGTTCGGTTCCTTCCGGCCCACGTGACCGCCCCGCCCCGCACCATAGAGAGCAGCGGGGGGATCGGGGGGGGGGCGGTGGGTAGAGCGGCCGGGCCGCCGCGCTCAGCTTACCATAGAGTGCTGAGGGGGGAGGTCCTCCAGGGGAAGCCCCGCCTCCTTCCCGGGGGGAGGGGCTACGGGGGGGGCTGTGGGGGTCCCAGAGCCACTATTGGGGTCTGGTGTCACCTATAGGGGTCCTATAGACCCTATTGGGGGTCTTGTGTGCCCTTATAGGGTCCCATAGACCCTATTGGGGTCCCACATCCCCTATTGGGGGGGGTCTCGTGTCCCCTATAAGGGTCCCATGGCCCTTATTGGGGTCCCATCACCCTATTGAGGGGTCTCGTATCCCCTATAGGGGTCCCATAGTCCATATTGGGGGTCCTGTGTCCCCTATAAGGGTCCCACATCCCCTATTGGGGGGTCTCGTGTCCCCTATAAGGGTCCCATAGACCCTATTGGGGTCCCACATCCCCTACTGGGGGGTCTCGTGTCCCCTGTAAGGATCCCACAACCCTTATTGGGGTCCTATAACCCTATCGAGGGGTCTCATATCCCCTATAGGGGTCCAATAGTCCCTACTGGATGTCTTGCATCCCCTTATTGGGGTCTCACATCCCCTACTGGGGGGGCTCTCGTGTCCCCTATAAGGGTCCCATAGTCCCTACTGGAGGGTCTCCTATCCCCTATAAGGGTCCCATAGCCCTTATTGGGGTCCCACATTTGCTACTGAGGGGTCTCCTATCCCCTATAGGGGTCCCATAGCCCCTATTGGAGGTCTTGTGTCCCCTATTTAAGGAGTCTCATGCCCCCTGGGGTTCCCATATGTCCTATTAGGAGGACTCGTGTCCCCTGTGGGGTCTCATGTTCCCTGTGAGGGTTCTGTGAACCCCATGGGGTGTCCTGCCAAGGGGGCACATCCCCTATGGGGGTCCTTGTATCAGCTGGGGGGTCTCATATCGCCTACCAGGGGGGCTCGTGCCCCTATTAAGGGGTCTCATGCCCCCGGTGGGGGTCCCATATCCCCTATTAGGGGATCTTACATCCCCTGTGGGGTCCCAAAGCTTCAACACAGGGGGCTTACCCGCAGCAGGGCTACCTCTGCAGAAACCACGACCCTGATCTGATTTCATTCTCACCGCCGGCCCGGCTTTGTTCTGCAGATCCCGTTCTAGAACCCGGCCAAACCCCCAGAGCACCCCCAGGGGCTCCCAGGCCCTTTAGGGACATTTCTCCCCGTGCGGGGCCCGCTGCGCTTCGGCCGCTTGCACTCCTCACAGGAGGGTTTGTACATCCTGCAGAACGAGGCAGAGACTGGAAAATTTAACGTGAGGAATTGACTTGACCTGCCACGCTCCTGTAAAGGAGGCAGCGAATTCCTTGAGCTGTGGGATTTCTTCTTTCAATTTGTTTTGTTTCCAAAAAGTCCCCGTGGTGCAAGAGGCCTCCGACACACCCGAGCTGAAGCAGGCTCCAGGAGCCCTCTTTATCTTAGCTATGTCTGCAAATGAAAGAGATACCAGAAAATCGGGAATGCTTCCCCAAAACGTCTTTATTAAGGAAAACAGGAGGCAGGAGAAGCGTGTGGCAGGGCACCGAAGGGCTGACAGAGCTTCTTGCTCCGTGCCATCAGGGGCGAGTTGTTCGACCCCTCCTGCTGGAACGAGGGGCAGGAGGAACCCCTGCACGTCAGTGCGTTTGGCCATGCTGTGAGGTTACTCAAATAAAAAAAAATATTGAAAAAAATACTTAGCCATCTTTCTCCAGCCTTCATGAAGCGGAGATTATCATTTTTTTTTTTCCTGAAAACTGAGGTTTTGGGAAAATAAAAGAAGTGGACTAA